TTTTTAATTGTTTATTTTCATCTTCAAGTTTTTTCTTTTCATTTTGAACAGTTTCTAACTGGTTCTTCACAGAATCAGAATTCACATGATTTCTCTTACATTGTTCGTGAAGGTCTTTTAATTCATCTCTTTCATTTTCTAATTTATTAATAATATTTTTTTGAGTTTTGAATTTGTTTTTATATCTATCAAGCTCATTTTTTATATTATTAATCTCATCATCTTTATCTTTAATTTTTTGTTTCAATTGATTAATCTCTATCTCATGATCTCGTTTAAGTTCTTTAATAATTTTTTCTAATTTTCTATTTTCTTCTTCAAGTTCATTATTCTTTTTTTTTTCTTTCTCATTTTCTTTTTGGAGTTTTTCATGTTCTTCTTCAGCTTCTTTTAATTGTTTTTTCGTATCAGCATGGAGTTCTTTTTCTTTTTCTAATTTTTCCTTTATTTCAAGATATTTTCGATTTGCTTCTCTTGCTTCTTCCTGAGCAATAGTAAGATCCTTACGTAACTTGTTAATTTCATTTAATAATTGTTTATTATTTTCCTGAAATCTTCCTTTAGTATTATAATAAATAATTTTATTGTTAATATTTTGTTGAGCCTGAACAACATTACTATAACTACGATTCTAGTTTCTTAACCACACACTAAGCATTTTTTTTTAAAAATTAAATATTTTATTTAAAAAAACTAAATATTTTATTTATTATTTATATAGAAAAAATTTTAAACTATAAAATATTTTTCAACTTTAATTCGTATATTCTTTGTTGTAACTTGATAACTATATTTAGATAATAAAATTAATAAATTAAATAAAATTTATAATTTAAAAATTATTCAATTTTTTACCTTCTTTATAATTCAATTTTCTTCATCATATTCTCTATTTTTTTATTTTTTGATTGTATTTCTTTAATCATATTTTTAACAAATAAAACATAATTTTCTAACAAAGTAGAATTTGTTCTATACACATGTTCTAATTCACTAATTGAATATTTGTTTAATATCTTATTACATCTTTGAGAAATCTCATCTAACTTATCGTGAGAGTAAATATTTTTTTCTCTTTCTTTTTCTTGATTAAATTCTTTTAAACATTCGATTATTTCATTAGAATAAATCGTATGAACATAAATCATAATTAATAAAATGATATAAATGATCTTCATTTTTTTTTTATAAATTAAAAAATATTCGTAAACAAGTTATTTATATTTTTTTTTATCAAAATAAAAAAGCTAATCATCATATTCTCGTTCCATAGTTACAATAAACTCATTAGTCATAAAATTAATCTTATAATTTATATTTTCAGTTATTAATGTACAATTTGTACTAATCCAAGAATCAAACATCTCTTCTAATTCTTGTTCAATTTCATATTTGATATTTTCATATTCACATCTTATAAATGGTCCTTCCCAAGTATGTATTTGATTTACAATAATACGAGTAGTAAAAACTGCATTGATATAAATTAACCAGAGAATCAAAAAATATAATTCATTTTACGTATTTTTTTATCACTAATCAGTAAATCTATGCTTTTATATTTTTATAAATAAACAAATTGGGATATAAATAGGAAAATCTATAACAGGGTTCTTTGTTGTATTAAAAGGTCATAAGACTGGTTTGTATTTAAACTGGGATGATTGTTATGAGCAAATAAGAAATTATCCTAATTCTAAATATAAAAA